TATATATAAATAAAGTGTATATATATGTTGAGCTATCTTGATGCTGCTGCTGCTGCTGCTGCTGCTGCTGCAGACGAAGCAGCAGCAGCAGCAGCAGCAGCAGCAATATATTCTCTTTAAAGGAATTAAAATATAGGGTTTAAACATCTGAAGTGTATGTACACCCTAATCACTGCCACAAGTCTTTTTCCTGCTGCTGCTGGCTGCTGCTGCTGCTGCTGCTGCTATTGCTGCTGCTGCTACACAACCTGCAACAGAAGCAAAGACATGGGCTCTTTTTATTTATTTATTTATTTTTTTTTTTTTTTTTATGTATATATAATGTATATATATGCCGGCATAAGCAGCAACAGCAACAGCAACAGCAACAACAGCAACAACAGCAACAAAAGCAGCAATACTAGCTGCTTTTGCTGCCTCCTAAGTAGCTGCTGCTGCTGCTGTTGCTCCTGTTGCAGCAGCAGCAGCAGCAGCATCCTGCTGCTGCTGCTGCAGCTGTTGCTGCAGTTTCAAACCGAGTAGATAATACGTAGGTGGCCATCTGCAAAACGAGCAGCAGAGGAGCAGCAGCAGCAGCAGCAGCAGCAGAACTTGCATGCATTTGTTTGCTGTTGCTGCTGCAGTCCGTACTCTTCTTGTTGCAGCACCGCCACCTACTTATGCGGTTGTATTTGCTGCTGCATTTGCTTGCTATTAGTCCCTCGCCTCCTCTATCTCTCTTGCTGTGCTGCTACTCCTCGTCATCCTCCTCTTGCTGCAGCTACAGCAGCAGCAGCAGTAACTGTTGCAGCAGCAGTAACTGTTGCATTAGCACTAGGGACCTTGCACTTGATGCATGCATGCATGTGTTAGTAGTTCGGGTGTATATATGCAGCAGCAAGAGTTTATTCCCTATCAGGAATAGATTTTTGCTGCTGCTGCTGCTGCGGTGCAACCTGTGGATCCTGCTGCTGTTGCTGCTGATTCTGGTGGTGTGCTTCATCCTCATCCATATGCTGCTGCTGCTGCTGCTGCTGTTGCTGCTGATGATGAAGTTCAGGTGTACGTGCAGGTGATGATGCCCTTACATCATCCCATGTATCCTCACCATCTACATGTAGATCTTCCTGCTGCTGTTGCTGTTGCTGCTGCTGCTGTTGTTGTTGCTGTTGCTGTTCATCATCATGTCTTCTATTATTATCTCCTCCTGCTGCTGCTGCTGCTGCTGCACTACTTCCTCTCCTTCTCCTGTGTCTTGCTTCTTCTTCCTCTTCTTCTTCTTCTTTTTTATCATGATGATATCTTTGTCTTTCCCTAACAACATCATCATCATCATCATCATCATCATGTTGCTGCTGCTGCTGCTGCTGGTGTTGCTGTTGCTGCCTTTCCCTTTCCCTTTCCCTTTCTCTTTCTCTTTCTTTTTCTCTCCTTCTTCTTCTTCTCCTTTCCTCTTCTTCATCCTCATCATAATCTTCTTCATCAACATCAACAACACCTTCTCCTCCTCCTCCTCCTCCTCCTCCTCTCCTTCTCCTCCTTCCCTCTCCTCCTCCTCCTCCTCCTGTTCCTGTTTCTTCTTCGTCATCATCCTTATGACTAGGATGATGACACATAGGACATAATGATGGTTCTTGTACGCATGCATTAGCAGCAAACTTAGGACAAGGTTTACAGCAACCCTTGAGGTGCAACAAGACAGAAGGATGAGCAGCAAGATGAGGATTTGCATGCGATGAATCATGACAATAAATACATCCACCTCCTCCTCCTCCTCTACCTCCTCCTCCTCCTCCTCCTCTCCCTCCTCCCTGTTGTTGTTGTTGTTGTTGTTCAATAATATTATTAATATAATTATTATTATTATTATTAGTATATTTACATCCATCTATAGAAGAAAAATAATCTGCACAAGGTATACATACACCACGATTATGTGCATCTATATCTGTTGATAATTTCTGTCTTGGTTGGATCTTGAATATATCTTGTTGCATATATTCTTCATCTAATTTTTTTATTCTTTCTTCTTCTTTTTTCTTCTTTTTTTCCTCATCTTCTTCCTCTTCCCCTTCCTCATTATTATTATTATTATTATTATTATCTTCTTCTCCTCCTTCTCCTCCTTCTTGTTCTTGTTGTTGTTTATGTATAGGATGATGACAGAATACGCATGCAATTTGTGTACATATACCATTAGATTTATATCTATGACAAGGCATACATTTATTTTTTTTATGTAAAATAATAAAAGGATGAATAAATGAATTAATATTACGATGTTCTTCGTTATGACAACGAGGACAAGAGGAGCCACGACTGCATCCGTCTGTGTTGCAAAAGTACCAGACACAAGGGAGGCACGAATCAGGGTGACGCCAACGACGACGTATGTATTCTTGTTGTTGTTGTTGTGTGTACTGATGATGGTGGTGGGGTTGTTGATGGAGGTGGTGTGGTGGGGGAGGAGGAGGAGGATTTGCTCCTGTTGTTGAGGAGGAAGAGGAAGAAGAGGAAGAAGAGGAAGAAGACGAGGGATGAGGGGAACGAAGAATAACACCACCACCATGAGGTATAATGTGTTGTTGTTGTTGATGATGGTGGGGTTGTTGTTGTTGATGGTGATGATGGTAAGAACGAGGACGACGATCTCCTCCTGTTGATCCTAATGTATCTCCATCTCCTCCTCCTCCTCCTCCTCCTCCTCCTCCTCCTCCTGCTGTTGCTGCTGCTGTACGTCTTGTGTCTGTTGTTGTATGACGATGACGATTATAACGTGATGGTGATTCATCATCCCAATAATCCTTACGACTACTACGACCATCTGCAGCAGCAGCAGCTGCAGCAGCAGCAGCAGCAGCAGCAACAGCAGCAGCAGAAGAAGAAACACACAAAAATAATATATATATAATAATAATAATAATAATAAGAGTATTTATATGATTAAACATCTATTGTTGTGTTACTATATTATTAATAGTGTTGGTTGTTCTTCTTCTTGTGCTGCTGCTGCTGCTGCTGCTGCTGCTGCTGCTGGTGATTTATTATACATACCTGATCCTTCTACGATTCTTAGATGATCATCTTTGTTTCTTCCTTGTCTATGATAAGATTGCTGCTGCTGCTGCTGCTGTGCTGCTGCTGATTCGCTGCTGTTGCTCCTATAACGTTGGTGGTATCTTTGTTGCTGCTGTCTTTGCTGCAGTCGTTGCTGCTGCTGCTGCTGCTGTCTTGTATGATAATCATATCCATGTCCATCTCTTTCTCCTGATTGACGATTCCTTTGCATGCGACCACCTCTACTCATGCTGCTGCTGCTGCTGCTGTCTGCTGCTGCACCTCCTCCTCCTCCTCCTCTCCAATAAGGACTACGGCTCCTGCTGCGGCTACGGCTCCTGCTGCGGCTACGGCTGCGGCTCCTGCTGCTGCTGCTGTAGTGCTGCTGTCTATCATACCTTCTCCTGCTGCTTATCCTGCTGCTCTCGTATCTAGAGGATGAATCCTCATAACGATGCTGCTGCTGCTGCTGCTGCTCGTGCTGCGATGAATAATGTGACGAACGCTGCTGCTGCTGAGGATAATGATGATATTGATCATAAGGCGGATCATAAGGTTGCTGCTGCTGCTGCTGCTGCTGCTGCTGCTGATCATAATGATGCTGCTGCTGCTGATCATACTGCTGCTGTCTACTACTACTACTGTACCCTGTGCTGCGGCTAGTACCATCAGCAGCACCACCACCACGAGATACACGGCTATCCCTTCCTTGCTGCTGCTGCTGCTTCCACCAAGGAGCTTCTCCTTGCTGCTTGCTGCTGCTGCTTCTGCTGCTGCTGCTATTCACACCACGATTACTACTACCAGACCATAAGACACCACCAGAATTGCCACCAGCAGACCCACAATGTCCTCCTGCTGCTGCTGCAGCAGCAGCATCGTACGTCATCGTAGTACTACGCTGCTGTCTTCTTGATTCGCCGTCGCAATTAGGAGGAGCACGCCAATGCGCATCCATCGTGTTGCTGTTCCTGCTGCTGCTGCTGCTGTTGCCGCAATTGCTCATGCAATTGCTGCTGCACTTCCTACTATTATATAATATATTAATGTTAATCCTTATGCTGCTATAGATTTATATATATATATATACACTTAACTGCTGCTGCTGCACCGAGAGAGGGGCGTCGTGCTGCAGCAGCTGCAGCAACAAAGTTGCCTATTAATGAATCTTTTTGCTGCTATTATTTCTCTCCTTAATAAAAGAGCAGCGCATGCATGCGGGGCTGTACAGCTTGGGGTCCGAAGCGGAGCTGCAGGCAGTAGCAGTACACTGCTGCGCAGCAGCAACTGCAGCAGCAACAGCAGTGCAACAACACCACCCTGTGCTGCAGCAGCAGCAGCAGCACGAGCCAACTATGAAGGTGCTGCAGCAGGATCAATAGAAGAAGGGATATAAAGGAATTGACAAGAAGGTCCTTCTTGTTATACTCTTGTTTATATTCCTTAAGGGACCCCTGTTGGTGCGTCGGCTGTGGAGGGGAAGAAGGAGCAGCAGCAGCAGCAGCAGCAGCAGCAGCAGCAGCAGGTTGTAATGACTTTGACAACAACTGCTGCCATCATTAGCAGAGACAATAACAACACTATATAACATACAGCAGGCCAATTGCAAACCCTTGCCTCCTGCTGCTGCTGCTGTTGCTGCCCCGGCTGCTGCTGCGGCTGCTGCTGCTGCTGCTGCGCCTCCCGAGGCCTCGCCCCGCCAGCAGACAAAAGCTTGGGGCTTGTTGACAGGCTGCTGCTGCTGTTGCTGCTGCTGCTGCTCCTCCTCCCTTGTTTTGGATATATATATACATTCTTTGTATAATTTTTCTTATTTATTTCTTTATTTTTATATAATTTATTATTAATTTATTCTTTTTTTCTTTTTTTTTGCTTCGTAAGGAGCTCTAGTGCTGCATTGCAGCAACACACTCTTGCTGCAACAGGAAAGAGAGGAGCAGCAGCAGCTGCAGCAGCTGCGGTGTGGCTGCTGCTGCTCCTCCTCTACTGCAGCAATAAAAAAAAGACGGATATATTCTTTTCTATTTTCTTATCTATTTATTTTATATAATAAAAATATATAAAAAATGTTCTCTTTTGCACTGTGTGGCCGTGGTGGCACCTCAGCAGCAGCAGCAGCAGCTGCTGCTGCTGCTGCTGCTCCATCATCATCTACAGCAGCAATAAAAGCTATATTACTACGAACATTACCATCATCCTCCTCCTCCTCCTCATCATCAGCAGCAGCAACAATATTATTCCCCTCCACTAGCAGCAGCAGCAGCAGCAGCAATTTACTTTTGCGTATTTCCCCTGTATTGCTGCAACAATCACCAACCTCAACAACAGTAACACGTTACACCACTCTGCAGGAAGCAAATCGAACGAAACTGCAGCAGCAGCAGCAGCAGCAGCAGGATCAGCAGCAGCATGAACTGCAGCAACATGAGCATATGCATGGATATGAATTAACACGTATAGATAGATTAGGAGATTTTATATATAGATGGCTAGATATAACAGGACTAATTAGCGGATGGCATAACAGGAAAGAATGGATACTAGATAAGGATAGTTATAGTCGTATAAATACATGTTTAGTTACAGAATATGAGAGGAAATTGATAATATTTATGGGGCTGCATGCATATATATTTTTATGTATATGTATATATTTAACAATAAATTGTATAAAACATAATAATATTAAACCTCCTTGTCCATCTTATTTATATTATCCATCTATTAATGGACAAAGAAGGGAATTTAATTGGCATAGTCATTTTTTTCTTATTTTACCCAAAAATAGATGCAAAGAATGTAGATGGTTAGATCTACAATGTAAGAGAAATTGTTTTGATCTATTAAGGGAACAAGGACATCAATTTATATTAAATCATGGTTATCCATTATCTATACCAAGAGATAAATTATTACCTCCTAATCATCATCATTAATTATATTATTTATTTTATTTATTTATTTTTTTTTTTCTCCTTTTTTTCGTATATTTATTTCCTTATTAACGGATATATATATATATATATATATATATATATACAGGGAGAAGGTATTATCTCCTATTATAC